CACCCCCACCACAGACTGCACCAACTTCTGTACCACACGCACCTTATAATTCTACAAAGCAAGCTGTCCCTTGCATTTTCTTCCAGAAAGGGCTTTGCTTAAAAGGTGACCGATGTGCTTTTTTGCATGGACCAAATCCTAACACCAGCAGTAAAGTTCCTCAGGTTCAGGCGACAAACCAGGTTACTGAGCCTCCAAGTTTTAAGAAGGTTTTTAGTGGCCCAGAAAAGTCAACACAAGAAAGGAAAATTTCCCAGGCAAACTTTACAAAGCCAGTTACAGGTGTTGAAGCTAAGCCTGCCCAAATGTTGGAACTGCTTCGCATAGAAATGTGGTTGCTGTAGAGAGGCATGCACCACCACCAATGGGATTTGATAATGAGGCATCTAGATTTAAGGTAGTAAGTACTCCGCCTGTCACCAATGGAACCACTGTTGCCAGGCCAAACCGTGCATATCAATCTCATGTAACGGATGATCATAGTTTCCACAATGGCAAGGAAAGTGATGAGTTTTTGAGAGAATCCTCACCTGGCTTTGATGTACTTGTTGCTGATGAGCTGAGGAATTCAGATTACTATGATGGAGAAGACCAATTTGGAAAAGCAAGAGGTCAAGATGGGATGAACTTGGACTCTGTGAATGAATATGATTTAGGACATTCTGTAGATTATAAATCTGTAGCTGATATTGACCAAGACAGATATTGTGGACCACAAGGTTATGATTCATACGATCACATGCAAGAGACATATGCGTGGGATCAGCGCAGGAATTCATCAGAAAGAATATTCCGGGCAACAACACATTTAGATAGGATGACTCATCGCAGATCTGGCAGTCCTGAAAATGTGGGGGTTTCAGATCTTCGACATCGTTTATCTAAGCGCAGGAGGGTCAATGGTTTGAAATCTGTTGTGAGTCATGATTATACGCATCAGAGCCATGATGATGAGCAAAGTCACCGGTTCTCTTCTCAGAAGGATGTTCACCAGTTACCTCTGAATGAAAGTGCTCTCAGTAATCGCTTCCGAGGCAGGATAAAGCTTCCAGCAGATGGTGGGGATGAATATGTGGAGAGGGAATCAGACAGGGGAAGAAATAGAAGCACGTTGTCACCTGGAACCATGCAGACTCCTCAAGCAGGTAAGTTCCGAGATAGACTGAGAGGAAGGGTGCAAGAAGATTTTGAGAGGAAAAACTTCAGGGATCGCCCTATAAGGAAAGAAATAAGTGGGGACGAACATGCTGATTTTGATGGACCAAAAAGTCTTGCTGAACTGCGAAATGGAAAGAATAATCGGAACAAGGAGCATCAGTTGCTTGGGAAGAGAAAAAGTTTAAAGGAACAACAACAATCCGAAGATGATTTCATGTTTGAAGGTCCAAAACCTCTTAGTGAGATTTTGAAGGAGAAGAGAGCAGCTGGAGTTGAAGCAGCTTCCAAGAGTGGCAAATCGTCTGAGAATAGAGGAGACAATAAAGACAGAGAAGTTACTAATGGCTCGGAATACACCTCTGTCATGGATGCACGAAATGGCACTTTTCCTGCAAATAAGGAAGATGTTAAGAACGAGGAATCCAAGTTTGAGGCAATCGAGAACACGGTTGAAGAAGGAACGATGGACAACGAAGTGATAGAAGACCAGGAGTTTGAAGGAGATGATCAGAAGGATGGTGATTATTACTATGAGCAAGTTGACGAGGGAGACTACAATTATGATGAAGGCGAAAATCCAGAGCAGGAAGAATACATGGATGATGAGGAGGATGGGGATGACTTTGCTAAGAAGATTGGTGTTATGCTCACATGATTACACAGGGTCAAAGCGGAACATGAACATCTACTCTTTCATGAGCATGTTACAGCGGACCTCCAAAGGTTATCAAGTTGTCTAACTGTGCTGTATTTCTGCCTAAAATTTGTTTGTAGAATTGGGGGATATTTAAATTCGTTTTTTCCGTATCAATGATCCCTTTACTGTATTTGCATCTCTGATTGAATGAAGATTTTTATATTTGTAGTGGGGGCATTTTGCTGTACTCTTCGCATACAAGTGTTATGCAGAGTTTAAGGCCTGCAACGTTAGGAAGTTAATAACAAAGTCGTCTTTGCTCTTCAGCTTCAATTTTGTCGTCACTAAAATTTCCGTTAGAAAAGATGAGAGTCATACGACATTCAATCATGACTCCAACCTTATTTTCTCCCTTAATTTTCTTCTATCTTTCCATATATTGACCTCCTATCCAGGTCGTTGCATTTGAATTTCCTTCTTGCTATTTGTTGTGGCTAGAGAGTCTCCTGCGGTTTCATTAGACGAATGAGTCCAAAAGTTGTTTTGGTTCACAGAAGCTTGCATCGGGGGCTATCAGAGCTTTCGCTTGTGGCTGGCAGCTTCTGTCCAGCTTGGTTTTTGTATTTGGATATCTTCAGGTGAGTCCTAACTGAGGGTTATGCCCTTAGAAATCTAACAGTATTAGGAGAGTTACTATTAAAGAAATCTTGTTATTTTTTAAAAATAAATTTATAACTTCTCTTTCAGGACGCTCAGATCAAAATCTAATGGTTGATATCTCTTGATTGATGTTCAACGGAAGAAGCCTCAACTGAAGGAATTCAAATCTGGCAATAACTGAAACAAATTTGGTTGCGAACTTCTGAACAAACAAAGGGAAAATCCTTTTTGTACCAACAAAAACAAGAAAAGAAAAGAAAATCCTTTCAAATTATTTTGTTTTCGTTACAGAATATAATTTAATGATTGTTATCAATAACAAATCAGCTGATACTCATGACAAAACCGGCAGTCAAGTCAAAACTCACATTCAACAAAAATATAAGGGCTCTCATTGGAAGCTTTACAAGCTTGCAACCCATTACAGATTTTAGCACGTAATACTTTCTCGAGAGAATTACAATAAAACCCTAAAGAAGGAAAATAATTGCAAAAAATTCTAAAAGTTATTATTTTCTACTCTGAAACTTGTTATTATATACCGTTTGGATTGTTACTGAAATTTTTTAGTAATTATTTTTCTTCTTTAAAATCTCATTATAGTTCTCCCTATTTTCTTTGATAGATTTTTTTCCTGAAAAAATAACAATAAAAAAAATAGAGAACGAGTAAAATTAACTTTATCCCAAAAATCCATGATAGCTACAAAAGCTCAACGGGACGCCTTTGATTTCATCCAAACCCATGATCCATTAACCCAAAACCATGTCCATTCTCTAAATCTAACCCTCACTCCATTTCCATCTCTCTCTAGAGATGCTAGTGGGAAATTAAAGCCATGAAAGAGCTTGTGTGTGCATAATCAAAATCATTAAGTGGTTGAATTTGGTGATGATGGTTGTTCTCATTCAATGTCTAGATGGCTTCATTTGAGTCGCACAAAAGAATATGAGTTTGATGTTGACTAATAAAAATGTTTAATTATCTCAAGGATTCATCTCTATTGGTCCTTCATGCTCAAAAAAAAAACTGTCTTAATTAGATGCAAAGCTCCATTTCAAATTCTTTGTCATGTCAAATTCAATAAATTAAAATCAAAATAAAATATACTATTTTTTTTAAAAATAAAAAGTTGACCATGTTATACTCATGTTTAACATGAGCATACAAATGTGAGCTATGAAATGGAGGAACCGTGGCCATATGGTCTCTTGAATTGAATGAAGCGGCCAATGACCATTGGATCCGCCTTGTCATGGTCAAGTTTACCACTTTATCCGACCTCATCTTTTCTTTGACTCACTTGTATTACTCTTATTTTATGTATAAGTTACTTGTATCTTAAACCTGCCAACTAAAAAATACTTCTTCGATCTTTAATATAAGACATATTTAACTAATCTGATTAGATTAAGAAATTTAGGTAAATTAGTTAACTATAAAAAATATAACATATTTTTCCTTAAACACCATAATCATCTTTCTTAATATCTTTCTTTTTTTTTTTACTTGATTATAGTTGAGGAAGTATCCATAAGGATAATTTAAAAGAAATTAATAAATATGAGAAATATATCTTATATTTAGAATCAAAATTAACTTAATAATTAGGTCTTATATTAAGGATCGGAGGAATACATTAAGTTGACATTTTTTTTCACATATGCCTTTATTCAACAAAGGTACTATTAAAAATATGTTTTATATTAAATTAATAGGGATAAAATTAAGAAAATTTCATTAATTACCTTATAAGTAATTTATATTTAGAAACAAATCTTTTTCCTTGCAAGTGACTTATAAATAGCAACAATGTGATATTTGTTTGATGGCAGTATTCAAATTTTACATTCAACGAACTTATATATGAGTTGCATTCTTATCAATCAATTAAACGAGTTTGAATTTTTGCCACCCCATCATCAAGGTGGCTTCTAGAATATATTATAAATCGTTCAAATTGAGAGTGAGTGAGTGCACATGCGTTAATATCTGAGCGCCATTCATTCTGCTCCCCACGTTTATTAATTAGTATTCTTCCCAAGTTGCTAGTTGATGTTCCTTATTATTTCAGATATTAACCCGAAAAATGTTCTCACTCTTGATTCTTTTGAGCTCATTCGATATATAGGTTGGAACAAAAAAGATTAATTGTTAAGTTAATTTTAGTTCTAAATATAATACCTATTTTTTATATTTATCAATTTTTTCTAAATTACCCCCTGTGAATACTTTCTCAACCATAATCAAATAGAAAAGAAAAGGATGATATTAAAAAAAGATAATTATGGTATTTTAAGAAAAACATATCATATTTTTTATCATTAACTAATTTACCTAACTTCTTTAATCTAATCAAATTAGTTAAATAGGTCTTATATTAAAGACACGAGAAGTATTATAGATATTGTATACTACACATCTTGATCATTTGTATTATTATGAAAAAAAGAATACTTTCCCTCGTGTGATAACAAAGCGGGTCTAGGCTTGATATTAGAATTGATTTTTGATTAGCTAGTATATGAACCAACAAAAGCCGCAGTGTTGATGGTCATAATAAGCAAGAACATATATAGATATTTTATTGACTAAAAAGAGAAGTTCATATATTACAATAGATATGAATTATTGAAACGAACACAGTCTGGGATATATATATATATATATATATATATTTATATATATATTAATAAATAAGGAAGCTAAGCTACCTAAACAAGCAGCCTCGATAAGCAGGAGTCCAGTAGTCAGGGGCAGTGCTGTCTCTGTAAGCCTGAGGAGTCCATGAAATTGGAACCAGACAAAGCCCTCTGCTCTTCAGGTCTCCCTTCTCTTCTAATTTCCTCTCCATGCTTCCCCATGTTTCCTGCATTATATTATTCTTCATTATTTTCACTTCATTCCTTCTTTTCTTACATGTATATACGTACAAATCCTCCAAGTTCAAGAACTTCACAGATTAAGTTCATTTAATTCTTATTACCTTGTGATGCGAGTTAGTCTTCGTGTAAGAGTTGCTCAGTAGCTGCAATATATATAAGTATCACATGTAAACATATATATTATCCATATCCCAGAATTTCATTTGCACTTTAATTTAATTAACACCACTAATCATCAAATTTTCAATAATATATAATTAATTACCACCTGCACTTGTTCTTGTAAAAACTTTATGTACCCAATTGCTTCAAAAAGCACTGATGCAGTGTCCGTCTGAAATTCACCAACAACAAATTTCATCAATATTCATACAAAACAAAATCGGATTTTGATTTCTTTTTTGTCATTACAGATTTCTTTAGTTAAACGGTGAAAATAGTGTCACATGACTGGTTTATCGCCTACTTATTGCCCAGTAAATCTAAGGGATATATATAGAGTTGCTTTAGGAAAATATACAAAAAGCCCTAATTAACCCAAAGGATCCATTTCATATAAAATAAAATACAGTTGTTGGGGGGAAAAAAAGAAGAGCACTAAGAATTAATTTAGCAAATATATATAAAAGAGAAAAAGACTGGTGTTAGTGCAATATGTAGTGACCTTTCCAAATGGCGACACAATTTGCTGAAGGGTTGTAATCCTGTCGCCTAGCTTGACTTTTGGTGCTTGCATCTGTCAACACAAATGAATAGAAGTTTCTTAACGTTATTATATAAATCGACTTTTTTTTTTGGGCTTTCATCAATAATTATCGTATATATTGCCATTGATTTTGCTGCTACACATCTAATTTAATTTAGTCACCTTTGCAGAAGATGCCGTAGATGTCTCTTGCTTTGGCTTCTTCGAGATTGCTTCTGATGATGAGTCATCTGTTCTTTTCTTCTTTACCTCAGTGGAGCTCCCTTGTCCTCTTCCATTGTTTGTCCTTGTCTGCGTATTATTGCATACTATCATATCAACTTATTATAAGTTGATCGATCAAGCTCAATATATAAACGCGAAACACACAATTTTCATATATACATCTTTGGAAATCACACAGCAAAAAGTAACTAATGTTCAGAGAATTTACCGGCAGTGATGTCTGAAAAGTGTGTTTCTTGGAGTCAGATACAGTATTCATCGAAGGTGGTCTGAAACTGGGTTTCAGTGCATGAATTCCGATAATCGGCCGGCCTATCCTTCCCGTAAAAGATATAACATCTGTCAAATTTCTTGAACACGATGAAGACAAACTGGCCGGCATCCCATACTGACTGTTAAATCCGTTGTTCTGATATCCGATCGCATGATGATGATGTTCTTGCTTAACCTTCATGTCAAGAGCACCGTATGAAGAAAAAACCCCAGAATGATCCATCGAAGAATTCAAATCATTATTGTTGTGTGTTTGATGAGGATCAAAGTGGGTAGAATTATTATGATTATGATTATGATTATGAACTTGTCGGTCTGGTGGTGCAATGGACCAAGTGGTAACCAGCTTGCTCAATCTTTCACTCTGATCAAGCACGGCCTCGTTGAAACCATTGAATTGTTTCTGATGATCAAAAGAAGCAGATGAAGAATCGCTGTTATTAGTATGGTTGTATTCCCAAGTGGTATCAAGTTTCTTCAAGTAGTTGCAGGCTGGTTCGTACATCATGCTTTTACATGACACTGCATCCATCAAGTTCTCCCCTCCAGCTTCACTATTTTGCAGCTCCTCGTTGCTTCCAACACCTCTATAATAAATGTTCAATTCAGTTATACATATAATATAAATATATAATAGAAAACAGTACTGGCACCACGATGAGTTGCTTGCAGATCTTCAGATTATTATAGCCATGGATGGATATATAAGAGTTCATCAGCCTAGCGTTTGCCTTAAAGGAGATGCTCGATCAAATATGATATTGAAGAAAGCTAAAACAAAACTATTCCCCCGAAAGAAGTTGGCTAATTTATTATAAACACCCTACCCTAGCTAATATGCCCTATACACATAAAAATATTTACCGTATTTTTGCGGGAAAATGATAGTTATCAAAGAGAGTACGTAGAGAGACTTACAATAAGACGTGAGTCCAGAGGTGATTATTGTCAGGCGAAGGCGCAGAAAGGTCGACGAGGCGGCGATGAGGGGATTCGTCGACGGCGAAAGATGTGGAGACTGAGATGTCTTGATCTTCACAACAGGAGGAGGAATTGGAATGAGGTTTTGCAGAAGGTTGATGATGATGAGTGTTCCAGGAAGAAAGTGAATTTGCATGAAGATCCCACCAGTTTATTAATGGAGTTGCAGAAGAGGTTGCTACAGAATTCCCACCACTTTCTTCATCACCCATGTTTCTTTCTCTTTCTTTTTCTTATTCTCTGATCCTTATAGTGATGGAATATTAATGGACCTAGCTAGCTACAACAGAATATATATATCCTTGTCTCTCTCTCACTCCCCCCTAGTTTCTTTTTCGGGTTGGGTAAGACTTCAGAGAGTACTCAATTCAGATTATTAATTAAATAGAGGTTATATATATGTTCCCCGGATATTTAAAATTACCAGAATTATTTTAATTTATTGGTAAGAATCGAAATGAATATTTTGTATATATTGGACAAATCTCGTACCCGTATAATATTGTTTTTTTCGAATAAAATCGTGTAATACTGAATTAAGGGAAAATGATATGCAAGTACCTCGGAAATCAATTAATTCCAACTAATAAGGATCATAGTTTAAAATTACAGTATGAAGGATCCAAGGTCCTTGAACAGCTAAAATTCTAATCAGATGCACAAAAGTTTCATTGTGGGTTAAAAGCAAAGGTTTAGGTGATGAATGAGACGATAAATAATGGAAGCTTGGGTAGTAAATGGCATGAAGTGAACATAAAACACAAAGTATTTTTTTTTAAAATAAATAGTAGAATCTTGGGTAGCAATTAAGTGCCCGAAGTGAAAAGGAGAACACAAATTATTTTTTTGGCGAATTAAATATTTAGTATTGGGTCATAAACAATAGTGCAAACTTGAGTGGAAAATAACGGAAGTTTAAGTTAAATGATAGTAAGAAGCTTGGGTGATACAAATTATGAATTGGTGAAACATGAGGGGGCGAATCGATCTGTCTTTTAATTTGTTATTAATAACTTTGTTGGCCATTATTTCTTTATGTGTGTTGAACTGTAATATAATTTGAAGTAAGTGTGAAATGAAATTATATATGGGGGAATAGTTGCATGGGGGAGTGACGTAGGAGAGGGTATGGTGAGGGTTAATTATATGAATGATAGGGCAGACAACAAAGTATGCAACCTGAGTTTTTCCACTAACGTTGGTGGGCAATTATTATTTATTTAGAATTTGTGTTGGTTCCATATGGGTAGACTCTTTTTTGTGTATTATTGCCACATTGCCTACCATTATTCATTAGAGTTTTATTTTAACTTCTTTTCCATTAGTGCATGTTTGGATTAATCATGAAGAAATGAACTCATACCATGAAAAGTTAATATATGAAAAGAATTTTATCTTGTAAAAACATAAAAAAGCTTTTTGAAGACAATTCAGGCATTAATGTTTGTTTGGAGCTGCTCATCATAAGCATGTTCATATAAATCAAGAGTACAATTGAAAAACTATTTTTAAAGACTCTAATTGCTATTCCAAACATGTCCTTAATTAATGAGTTGGATAAACTTAATAAGTGAATATAGTTTGATTTCATTCATCCCATTTGTATCAGCTTTTGAGAATTGTAGCATGTTGGGGGATCACGGGTCAATTTCGTACTTGATGATGGTCAGACTAGTACATGAACTTGTAAGCATGAAAAAAGCTTATTCATTCCGAACAATGTATATAACAATCTTATTATTTTCAAATATATATAAAAATCATATATATATATATATTGAGAGAGAGAGAGAGAGGGGGGGAGAGATGAAATCAGTCGAGACCAAATTAAGTCAATGGCTTTGTATTCTTCCTTCCTCTTATTCCTTAATTATGAATAGTTTTTGTTCTTAGAACTTTGTTGTGAAAAATCCTTAAATATCCGGGATTTAATTTGGATTTGCAGGCTATGTTCTCATGCATTGACTTTATCTAAATTAAAAATTAAAGCTTTTAATATCTTGATGCATGTATATATGAGAGTATTCAAATTTATTTGATTGAAATTAAACAATGCACGGTTTGGACAGAATAAATCAATAATAAAATAACAAGTAATTAATTATACTTTACCGTAATATATTGATTAATATATTATTGTATATTTTTGGTTTAACTTCAGGTGAATTCCTTCGATTTATTTATTTTTTATTTTTTTGGTTTGCCCTTGACTTGGAATATGATGTAGACTCCGCGAGGAAGTTGCGTTTTAGTTCCTTCACTATACAAATAACAGCAAGCAGTTGTTCTCAGCCACATAAATAACCCAATTTCGCTTTATAATATAATAATTCATTATTAGCAATATAATTATTTAACAATAAGATCAAAAGTTAGCCATAATAATAATAACCAAATAATACAGACCATTTGAGTAATGCCATTAGCTTTTTGACAGATAGAAAGCTTGGATGGTGACATGAATTGAGAAGATAGGTGAGGTGGCTTTATTTTACTTGAAATTGTTGATGATTAATTTTAAAATAATGAGCATGAAAAGGCAAGTAATCGAGCTTCTTAGATTTTAATCTTCAGATTATAACTTAAAAACAATTTTTATTGTGTCAAAAGCTTAAAGGAATGGGAAGCTATCTTACTGGATATAGAGAGGAACCTACAATTTTGAGAGGAATACTTTCTCTGTTTATGCGATACCGCATTTTTTTTTTATATGATTATACTAAATTTAAGTATTATCGAATTCAACTGAGATAAGCTCTTGGTGAATATTAACAATGATTTGTAATTACTACCTGTACTTAATTATCAAATTGATTAAGTCTCAAATTATAAATTACTCCTCCGCTCCTTAATATAAAACTTTTTTAACTAATTTGATTAGATTAAAAAATTTAGGTAAGTTAGTTAATTATAAAAAAATATGACATTTTTTCTAAAACACCATAGTCACCTTTCTCAATATCCTCCCTTCCTCACTTACTTGATTATCATTGAAGGAGTATCTGTAGGGACAATTTAAAAAAATTATTAAATATGAGAAATGTGTCTTATATTTAGGATCAAAATTAACTTAATAATTAGTTTCTATATACGAGGACCAGAGGAGTATATATTTATCTTCTTGTGTTCAATGCAAATGTCTACAGATATTACCTAACCATTATAGAAATCAGGAGTTAAGAGAATTTGAAAGGTAAAATTCTAAACCAACCATTTTGTAATGTGGGTGTTTAGAATGCTTAATTTCAATTTGACTCCTTGATTAGAAATTAGGATGGTTGAAATTTTCGGTATGATCTTCATTATCTTTTAAATGTTTCAACTTGAGTAATTAAAGAGTGATAAATAACGGTTAAAAAGTTATATTAATTTCTAAAACCATGTTTATTAAATAGTCGTTGGCAAAAAAAAAGTTATTAAATAACCATACTAATAAAAAGTGGTTATTCTAATTATAATCCAATTAATTTTTGGGGTAAACTTCTGTAATCCAGTGATCTTATTTAATCATTCTCATATATTTTCACGAAACTAATAGAAACCAAAAGGACCTAGAACCTAAAAGTGTTATGAAAAAAAAAATGATCATGATCTCTCAAATGCATGACCGGCCTTTACAAACTTACGTGACAATAAATTAAATACTAAAAGGCAGTACTTATTATATTGAGTAGTGGAACATAAAGTTGGTTCTTAAAATATTACAAAAAATTGAAACTAAAAAAAAAAAATTGACCTCATTTTCCATGGAATTAATTCTGGTGGCAGTCACGTCCAACAAGTTAAACAAATAAACTCTGAAAAAGTAGAAGAAAAATGAGCTACCTTAAAGATTCCATGCCTTTCCATATATAAGCCGTTTCATTTGATTAAAACCTAATGTTTTAAATTAAAATGGTAATGATTTTGACAAGAAAATTTCATATCAAACTCTGCTCATCATTTTGTATACCAGTATAAATACAATTATTCCATTAAATCGAACTTTTGGGCAATATATAATGATGTTAAAAGAATTTGCCATAATGTTTGGGACTTAGGTGAGTAATGATATATATTTTGTTTTAGATTGATATTGATATTAATATCGATTTTTGATGGGTTTGGACTTTGGCCCAACCTGACATCCATACAAAAAAAAAAAAAGAATTCTCTTTCCACATATATATAATTCAATAAAAATTGATATATGACATCTATCAAACTCATACTATCATTATTTGATCATAAACAGTTTTTTCCCTTAAAAAATAACTCATACTTTACTCCCTTGAACATCTAATTTCTTTTAGGCTGACAATTACAAGCCATGAGCCTATGACCTACTCCATTTATTTACTATTATGTTAATGACATTTTTCAAAAGCAAGGATCAAATTTTTAAGAATTATTTATTAGGGATTCAAATATCAGTATTCTTTTTCTTTTAATCATTTCTTCTTTTCTCCTCTCTGTTTTTGTTTGTTTGTTTACATAAAGAGGAACTTCTCACTTAAGGAAAATATTAGGTGAATATAAAAATAAAAGGGGAAATTGCTAATAAAAAAAATCTCTCTCGCAAAATTTATTGCACAAAAATACCTGAGGACTTGGATTCTTGGGAGGGTATGCAACATGTTATTAATTATGCATAAATGTCTTTTATTCTGTAAATAACTTTTTTTTCCCTAACGATTCTGCAAATAACTAAAGATATATTATAAGTATGAACTGTATTTGTTGAAAATAAGTTACAGATGATTCTTAAACAACTGAGTAAAATATTTTCTAATAAAAAATTTTCCAAAACAAAATAAATTAAAATGAAAAACTGTGAATGGCTAAAACCAAAAAGATAAGGGGGTCCATTAGAACCAGAGAAATGGTGACACTTGTTGTCGTTTGCAGCAAAGACATGGTTTTATAATATTAATTAATTATAAAACAAATTTAAATTTCAAAGAACATCGCACGAGGGCTCTTACTTTTAAATTAAAAGTGGAATTTGAATACGACAGCCTCACATTGTGGGCATCGCACGCCTTGCTTTTTCTCCATTTATTTTTAAACATTTCATTTCAAAATTATAAGAACCACTTTTTGTAGTTGACACAAATCCAACCCCGCCATCGGGGATTATTTTAGAGAAAATTACAAATAAAGACTTCCTAATATGTAAAATTTTAATTTGGGATTCTGAATTTGGAAAATAGCAAATAAGAACTCGGTCTCACTTTTACAAATATAAAATGTAGGTAAAATGTTTGAAATGCCTTTCAACGAAATTGTGATTTGATCTACTGAAGTTATTATTCGCTAAAGTGAATCTATCATTTTCTATAGTCAACTTGTCATTTGGCATGTTTTAAGTTAAGTTGTGATTTGATATACTAAAGTTATCATTTGATAAAGTGAATTTGTCATTTCTCATAGTTAACTTTGTTATTTGGCTAATAGGCATTTCAGACATTTTACCACAGTTTCATATTTGCAAAAGTGAGATCGGATCCTTATTTGCTATTTTTTAAATTTAAGATCCCAAATCATAATTTTATATATTATGAGGTCTTTATTTGCAATTTTCCCGTTATTTTACTTTTATTTTAATTTCATTTATTAATTTATTAACAATAATTTGTGGCCAACTTGGGCTCACTTGCTTCCCTTACCAATTAATGCCTTGGATCCTCCCTCCCTATCGTCTTTGTCAAGGCAGATGGACCGGCCTGGTTTGGTCCCTAAAAATTATTACTTTCCCTATTTTAATTATTAAGAAAAATAGGTTGATTTAATTATAAATTTTTAATATGCAGGTACATGAAATTTTTTCCCTAATAACCTTAAAAAAATCTCTCTCCTATATTAATACTGATAACTCTTTCCTGAGAAATGTTAGAGAATATTTCTCTCACATTTAAAAGACACATGTGAAAAATTATAATAAATATTCAAAAGAAAGCAAACGGTTTATTATACTAAGGGACAAAATTAAATTTATGAAATTTAAACGATAATTAAGTATAAAATGTTATAGGTGCTATATATATAGAGCCTAACGAAGCTTAACAATAATTAAATTATTAGATGCAAATTATTCTTTATTTTAATTCAATAACTCATTTTAACAATATTGCAATAAAATTATTTTTAAATAGAATATTCTAAATCATTAATTTGGCTCAAAACAGAGGATCTGATTTTCAATATTTGAATTGCAATAGTGTTTTAAATGATTCCATTGTTTTTTAAAAAAATGTGCTTGTTTTTTTAATTAGGCGTGACTTGTGGTCTTTTTCACAAGGCCAGCCCCACTACCAGATTGGCGCTTCCTGAAGGTGCAGGAAAGCCTTACAAAGTTTATACTTTTTTAGATGTCAACTTATTCATTAAAAAGTTATTCATAATTAAATAAAACGAAAAATTATTTTAGTGTATAAATAAAAATAGGATAATTTTTCGATATGGAAAGATAAGTACGGTTGAACCTCTTAATGTCTAGGGCGGCTTGCTTTATGAATATATTATCAGTTTTTTTTTTGTTGAAGAATAAAAAATATTAATAAATGTTTTGGGATGTTGATGTTTTCGTCAACAAATTCAATATTTATTTAATAATTAATAATGCAAATGCTTAGTGTGGTGGGACTCCAACCACAATGAGTGAAGCTCTTTCACGTAAACAGGTCCCATTCGAGTTTGGATTATATGTTGCCTAGTTATATTTTCTTTTTATTTTATTTTTAGATAGTATACTCCTCCGGTTCTAAATATAAGACTCATATATTAGTGTGTATAAAGGTCTTATATTTAGAATTAGAGGAGTATTTTTTATCCTTATTTCTTTTAAATTTTTACGTAAATTATCCTTATACATATTATTCAAACAAGAAGATAAAGGCGTAAAGCTTTTTAGGTATAGTGGACCACTAGACAGAAAAAGAAAAGGACGATTAGTATTAATATTGACGATTGGCCGCTTCAGAATTCAGTTCAAATTTTCATATTTTTATTGACACAAACAGAGTATACCATTTTCTTCAATATAATAGTTCTGCGTGCATTAATTACATTGTTTCAAAACTTTAGATCTACATATTTTATTTGAAACTTGATAATTAGAACATGGAATTAAATCACCTAATTTTACCACTTGCCAGCTTCTAATGCGACGAGAACTTCCAAGTTAATGATGCTCACGATTCAGCTTTCGAATTTCGCCTCTATCCATGACACGTCCAACGCAATTTTAATTATTAAAATAAATTAAAGACATTTTTAGTAAATTTTGAAAAATATTTACATTGACCTCATCCGATATCCTAAATAGACCGTCTTTCATATACATCAACAGTCCAAACTAATCTAGATTCACTAATTATAAGCATCTCAAAGGATAGAATAGCTAATCAAGGAATTTAACGCTTTCTATATCCAAGCGGGAATCAAATCCCCGACTTTGATTAAGGAAGGATGAACCCTTATCATTCAACTACACGCCCCTAGTTAAAAATATTTACACATTGATTACTACCTCTGGTCCTTAATACCAACCTAATTGGTTAATTTGGAAATTAAAAAAGTTACTAAATTATTTAATTATAACATATGTCACATGATTTCTCCAAAATACTCATGTGTATCATTAGATTATATATCATTTCAAGAGTCAAATTAATTTGGAAAAAATGATAAATATGAATATTTTAAAGTAATTTAATAACTTTCTTAATTTTTCAAATTAGTTAACTAAATCTTATAGTAAGGATTAGAGTACGCAATATGTTTTCCAACCTGTACGTTAAAATCTTAAACGGCAGATAACCGCAGGTAGTGAAGGGTAAATCATAGAGCAAAACTGTTGAAGCTACAACTAAAATGCCATCAACCGAAATAAAATATATAAAGGACGTGACTGCAAACGGCCAAACCTCACTGCCAAGCCCGGTACCGAACAATCCGCCGCCCTGCCGCCGGCCTTGCCCCGCCACAAAAGATTGAAAAAACATGCTACGGCCAAAACAGCACAAAAGCTCAAGAAGTTCATTTGTTAAGTGGAGGGGAACTCCTAGAGAATCCCAATCCATGCAGAAACTGCTCTGAGGAAAACTGAAACATGTAATCGGCAAAAGAGAGATACGCAACGCTAATGTTGGAAATTCTTCAGATCTTCTGTTGAAGTGTCACGTCAAGCACTTTAATAGGGAATTTTGGCTGGTAATGTTCATCTGTGTCCACTTCTTCAATTTCCTGAAACAAGATCTTGTAAAATTTAGATTCAACATCAATCATAATCATGTATTCCATTGCTAGTCTTGCACAGATTGCTTGTACGTTTGGAAAGATGAAACAAGTTCATTCACCTGAACAACATCCTCTCCCTTGATGACCCGCCCAAACACAATAAGCTTCTCGTTTAGGTCTGGTATAGGCGCAGTTGTAATGAAAAGATCAAATCCTTTGTTTGTTTGTTTTCCCATGGATGTTCCAATCATGAATGCTTCATGCTTCACACTAGTCAAACGTCAAAATATTATTTAACATAAACTAATCTATTAATTTAATTAATACACCCAATAAATCATCAACAGGTGGATGGTTTATGGACATTGGAAACATCAAATCAAATTCTAAGACCAAAACAAAAGGCACCTGGTGGTGTGCTTTCCTCTCACACTCCAATCTATGGTATGTCCTTTCCCTTGGTTTGCCCCTGCTTGAATCACGAAGTGCTTGATTACATGATGGAAATGCATTCCCTCGAAGTGCCCCTTTTGGCTGCAAAACCAGTGTAGTTCACATTAAAACCAAAAGCACATTACGTTCAAGAAATTTCATAATGTAAATCATGCTAAGTTGCAAACATAAATTTCACTCTGATTGCAGTTGAATATAGGTACAGTAGTAAGAACTCCGATGATTAGACCCCAAATTCTATCTCTCCCTCCCTCCGCCCTCACCCCCTTTCATTCTCATCCTCACAGCACGCTTTTCTCTAAACATAGGATGAAAACTTCATCAGAGATGAGAGTAGAGAAAATACTTGTAGACAGATACGAACTATCCAAACCGGAAAGGAAAACCAGAGAAACTCCAGATAGTTTTGTGGGAAAACCAGAGAAACTCCACATAGTTTTGTATTAATCAAGCAAAGAAACAATAAAATAACCCACCAACAGAGATGGATCCCAAGAAAAAATGCTAAATAGGGTTTCAACTTTCAAAGACACTGGAGCTATCCCTTGATTTCTTTTGGAAGATCCATCACAATCCCTCCCCACCCCAGTTTCCCCATTATTCTCCTCTAACATGCTCATTCACTCTCTTCTGCTTCAGTTCCTCGAAATCGGTATGTCATAGTAACCAATTTCAGTTCCCTCTTCTGCCCTTCCTACCACCTCACCATCTTTTCCTGTTTTAGACTGCCAAATTTATCAGAGGCCCCAAAAAAAAAAAAAACCACATATATCAGCGGCTTTTTTTGGGTTATTGGCCACAGGTGAACTCCTTCCTTCCCTTCTAGTTACTTCGATTGTAAACTTTGGTACTAGCAGGTCTGGTAGCAATAAGCCCAACAGCAGATCACATCTCTAAACAGAACAAGCAATCAAAACCCCATACCACTTTTAAGTGTAGAAGAGCTGTCCAACAACTGCATATATGGCATTGCAACTCCTTCTAAATATTCATTTGTCAGGTACTAGAGACAACTCATGTGAGGGAAATCTGGAATATGCGGGCATTCCTCTCTAGTTAGATAAACCATGGAATCACTGCTTCAGTTCCTTGAAATCATATGTCCTAGTTACCAATTTCAGTTCCCTCTTCTGCCCCTCCTACCACCTCACCATCTTTTCCTGTTTTAGACTGCCAAATATATCAGAGGCCCCCCCAAAAAAAAAAAAAAAAACCACATATATCAGCGGCTTTATTTGGGTTATTGGCCACAGGTGAACTCCTTCCTTCCCTTCTAGTTACTTCGATTGTAAACTTTGGTACTAGCAGGTCTGGTAGCAATAAGCCCAACAGCAGATCACATCTCTAAACAGAACAAGCAATCAAAACCCCATACCACTTTTAAGTGTAGAAGAGCTGTCCAACAACTGCATATATGGCATTGCAACTCCTTCTAAATATTCATTTGCCAGGTACTAGAGACAACTCATGTGAGGGAAATCTGGAAGATGCGGGCATTCCTCTCTAGTTAGATAAACCATGGAATCCCACAGAACTCACAACAGCACAAAGCTTTGTTCGTATTTGACTCCTTTCTCTATCATGCAATTTTATGGCAAAAAGTGGACATTCTAAGAATGATTGGCATTATCAAATTAAAAGATATTTTGAATGAACGGAAGGATTACCGATAAAAACAAGAAAGAAAAAAGATGATGAAGATGACAGCAAGCTTCAGAAAGGGAACATTTCCCATCCAAGCCTCCTCCCAAAATTTTGTTTTCCCTTATTATTTGCATATGAATTAAACTTAACGTACAAAATTTTGGCCAACAACGCAATTACAAATTAAAAGTAATGAATGGTATAGAAACATAAGGCCTTACTGCTGTAAAAGTTACTTAACATTCAGCATACATTAATGGTAATGCAGAGTACAAAAATAAGGTGTAACTAAAGACTTAAATCAGTTGACTGACATAAACTCTTGATTGCCCTTCTCTTTTTCGCCTTAACAACTCAAACCTAGCATCTTCCCCTACCCCAGCAACAAGATGAGGCAAAGATAAAAATGTTCAAGCAGCAAAGACAAAATCAGGAAGAATTCTTAAATTAAATCTTATACAAAGTACAGACAACATAAATGGGAAGCCTTGAACTTACCATAAGTCAATGAATTCATCAACAACTTCAGGGGAAGTTTCCTTGTAAAGTTCTATTACTATAGAGCCTTTAGAGGTATTTAAAACCTATTACACAATAGAAAAGATCAAGTTAATTTCATAAAATAATTAGAATGAACTAACATTTCGAATGCCTTCTATGAAAAAGTAAATCTAAATTGGCGTAATAATTTGCAAAAGCAAAGAAGTAATGCAGGCTGGTGAACAAAACTTACAGCATATCCAGGTAGCTCAGATTTTTTTGAGTTCACAAGAGTATTTTCAGCCTTCAGAAACAACAGGACAGAAGAAAAGTCAGAGTTAATGCAGTTGACAAATGCAAAAACCCTTGAGCTTTATATAATTATAGCACCTGATTTCCACAGGCAAAACCACATACAATTTATACATTGCAAGTGTTAACAAAGAATGGCTAAGAGACATATCAAGGGTATTATGAGATTACGACCAAAACAAATATAAGAGAAACAAAGAGTCTTGAAAGCCATGCGGAGTGAATCTTAGCCTCTTAGGTTTTACCTTAGAGACTACCATTTGATTCTCTGACCGAAATCTCGACCTGAATGCAGGCAAGAAAATAAATTGTTAGGAACAGATGATGCTCTTCCCAAGTCCCAACTTATATAAGAAAACGAGGCATTTCCTGTCAAAAATCAACATCATCATATATTATGATAAACAACTCATAACCCATATATTACCAGAGCTTATTCCAAATACATACACCTTGGTAATGTCTATCAATCAACAAATCTGATGCAAAATGGAAAAACTGACGTGCACTCCCAGCAGGGTAAAAAAAGATGAAGCATACACATTTTAAAAGTGACAATATAATAAGACTAAAGGGGATGTCAACAATTATTGGGCATTCCTCTATCCTGCAGCATAATCAATCTTCAAGTAAATACTGATACATCCCAAATGAATCTAACAAAAGTTAGAGTTAAATTTTACTAACGAGTTTTTATCACATGTTATTGTATCTGTTTATTGTGATGAAATTGCATATCTTCACTATGACTGTGAATCTGCCTTTATAAGTAGAACATAATCTATTTAACTAACCTGGGGAACCAATGTCCATACGCCATAAACAGCAAAAACACAATCAAAACCAGAAGTAAGCTGTAAAATATAATAGTCGATGCACTTATTCGGGAGGGCCCCTTCTTTCTCTTGCTTTGCTGTAGCAGAGCTTGAGGCTTGATCCTAGCCATTTTCAGTTGCAATCTCAACTAGTGGGATGGAAGTAAGGCCTAGAAAAGGAAGGGGTAAAAACCAAAAGGAAATGATGGCATATGTTATTACCATAAAAAAAAAAAAACCAACTAAAAAGAAAATTTCTCATTGCCAACTTATATAAGAATAGCAAACAGCAATCGAACTCCGTGGTTTTGAAGTTTCAAAATCTAAACATGTCTGAAGAACTCTATCCCATGCAACAGCAAGACTTTTCCTCCCAAAGTCAATAACTACCCAAAGCAGCCATATAATCGGACACAAATTAAGATTAAAATAATCAAGAAACTTCAGAGACAGTTGCATCCCCCAACATTTGTCTCAAGAAATTGCCCAAAAACACCAGAAAAAAGTAAAATGAATTCTCCCTTGTTTTTCTATTTGTTACTTCTCCGGCATATGTTCTCATATGTTTAGCAAAAAAATAAAACAAATAACCATCAAGATCATGATCTTCATGCATAGATTACCTAAGTTCAAGATCACAAACAACACCTGCTATTCAGAGAGCAGTCGAAAATCGGCTAAGATAAAGGGGGAAGAAACACCAATAAGGATTTAAAAATCGGCCAAGACATGAACCCCTGCTGATAGAGTTTGGAAGGACGACATCGAAACAAGAGCATAACTAAAACAAAAACAAAACCTACGAAAGCCTGAGTCTTTGGCGCAGAACAGAGAATGTACCTGAACGGGAACGGTCAGGCCCAGAGTAGGGTGGATCACAGAGAAACCAGCCAGATAACTAACCGTAGATGGCGGTTTGATTAGCAGCCACAATTGACGGATGAGCAAACCACATCAACGAGTGATAATTTTCAACGAAGGAAGTTTCGAAGTGCAAAGTGGTACAAGCGTTTCAGTTGGTGGTGGAACGGTGAAAAGAGATGAAGAGGTGACAACAAAAAAATAGTTTATTGTTAATTTAAAAAAAAAAACTTTTAAACCCACTTAATTATTCATCGTTTATGTTGTTTTTATTCCATTATTATCATCATCCCCATGTATCCATATACAAATATATGGTACAAAATCTAAATTAGTGTACTTTTCATAAATGAACAGATTATTAATCATACACCTATTATTATGTTTTTACGCTTATCTTTTGTGGGAAGGCAAATCTTAAGTTCAGAATATTTCTTCAATTTCTTTTCATTTCTTCATTTGAGGAACTTAATTATTCATATTAACCAAAACAACTGAAAATAACATTATTGTTGAATGAGCACCACTCCTTTCAATTCTTAACATAAAAGTTAAAAGCTAGTTATTTATATAAAACATGTATTATTTTCTTGAAAATATCTTTTTAATCATTATTTGCATAGTAATTACCTGGGGATGAAAACATTTTTGTATCAAAATAGGAATAGGAATAATTTGAGAAGTAATTATAAATCTGGCCAACAAAATAAATTGACGTTTTACATTTATTACTCGGGTAAACTCCCAAGCTATATGATTAGAGAGAAGTAACTACATCAAATGCGCAATACTCATGTGATGGGAATATATGATTAGAGAGAATAATTTGATCCAATAATTTTATTCAAGCAAGAATGTTAATTAAAGTTTGAAAAGGACGATATCGTTTTCAGAACAAATCAGAAAGGCATGGGTGAAAAAAAATTGCGGATTTTACAAGTACAATTCTCTTTCATACAAAATGACATGATACAACGTTAATTGACATGTCCCTTGCAGAAGACTATTTTCCAGCACCTCAAAGGGGTACCGTCATCAGCATTTTAGGCCATCCTTCTACATTTGATATACATTGAAAACCCACCTACTCCCTCCTCTCTTTTTCTGTAGTAACGGTTACATAAAACTATATATATATATATATATATATATAACATATACGCATAAAGAGATCAAAAAGTTACAGAAAAGCAGCACTTGCATTAGGGAATAACATCAGATTTGCTGATAAAGATTAGTGCTGTACTGAGATATCGATATATAGGCTATAATAGCGTGTCGTGCAAGTAAGCGAGAGATGATCAGGCGTCATAACCACAATCAGCGCTTTTGGTTGAAGAGGATTGAGCATATTCCTTGTTGGAATATATGTTTGAAGATGACAATGATCCACCCACAGTACTACTGCTTCTGGACGAGATCCTTTCCAGTTGTCTTCTGTTGGAACGATGCTTAACTTCTTCCTCTTTCTCGTTCACAAATGTCAGGAAAGTCCGGAGACGTGCCGACATCGAGCTCTGGCTGGAGGACTCGATTTCGTCGGAGTAGTGTTTGGCGTACTGTCTCATCATTTGTACGAGATAGATGAGGAGGGCGAGCAGACAAGCGAGTCCACATACTAAATAGAGACCCCAGAAGGATTTAAGATCAAGTCTGTCCACTTCAAGCTTTGCACCTGGTGCTAGGCATGCGCTCTTCAAAAGCCATTTGTCATGGATCCTTTGAAGATCTCCATTCTCTGATAGTTCCAGAATGGCTGTTGAAAGGTCAACTGCTAAAGGAGAGTCTCTAGGAAAGGCCTGAAGGAAAGGGGGGGGGGGGAACACACGGAACAACTCATATTGGTAGTCTTATCCATATTAGTAATCTGATATTCTACGACAACTTCAAATCCGGAAACTGACATGAACAAGTTGAATTCCCTTGAGATTTTATCAAGCCTCACATTTGACTAGCATGGGATAAGTGAATTGAAACAGAGAGATTTTTAAAGTATAAGAGGACCAAATGATATGACTGTATTGCGCTCTGATTCTACTGAGAATGAGGGTTATATGGATAACAGGCTTTACAGAGTCAGGGACTAATGGCATGAAGTGCAGAACAAAGCTAGAGCCAAAAGAATAGTTGTCTTGAGAAATAAAAACGCAAGTAAACAGTAAATCCTCAGCAGTAAAAAGGAACAAGAAACCCAAAATAGTGTACAGATACTTACAAATCCCCAACCATTTCTGGTGAACTCTTGACCTACAATAGTAAAATCACACCGGCTTGAAAGGAAGAACTCAATAAAAGCACGCTCATCCACATATGCAGCGACACCGCCTTTCCAGGGACCATCTTTTAATGCTTTAGCAATCTCAACTCCTTTCTGCAGAGGAACGAGTCTTGATTCATGAATCCCAACTTCCTCAACTAAGTAATCTCGAGTGAAAGAACCCTGCAAGTAGCCAATAGGTTCTTTGCTCTTTACTAAGCTTTCAATGCCCTTAATGGGGGAAGAAAGCTGCTGTACTGTGAGGATTGAGGTCAGACTTGCTGTGTAACTTGAATTAATTATAAGAACCACAAATAGCCATATAAGTAGCACGAACCGACCAAGTGTGCTCACTGTATTTTCCCCTGCACAGTCAATAGACGAGTAAATTGTAAGTCAAAAAAGATATTACTTAGAGCATGGCTGTTACAAAATACAAAGATCCAGCACTTACTGTGAGCAAAGAACATGGTTGAAAAGCTAAACCTGCCAAGTATAACATAGATAGAAGTTATAGATGTGCCCTGTGCCTAAATGAATCAAAAAGTACGAACTGTAACATAGTATTGTTACATGCATCAACAAATTTCAGATATGGTTTAAAGGATTAAGAAAGACGCATATTTCCTCACCACAAAATTGTCACGACTTGCTTTTTGGGAGGCCCTCGAAAATCATCATTCAGCCTATGCTCCAAGATCCAAACAACAGCACCCACGACTAAGAAGAAGATTGCTGTGACACCCCACATCATCGGCGTAAATGGTCTCAGAAAAGCCCATGCATTGGATTCTACCTTCTTAACAGGTGCTACGACTGCTAGACCGGACTCGATATATGGCTGAGTAAAATCCACCATCTTTGTTCTTTCTGTTGTAATCGTAATGTCACCCACTGCAGCATCAAAGACCTGTAAGGGAAGAAGAAAAGTAGTCAGTCTCACAGGAGCATATTTCAAAAGGCTCAAACTCCACAGACAAATAATGGTGGACACTTACGCCAGCCGTGATCAGACGAACAAGCTCAGTATTATTAGGATTGCTGTGACCATCCCCAAATGGAATGAACTTATAGGGAGCCGCATAGGGCAGTAAGTTCACAGCAGCAAGGAATACATCAATGCAGAATCCCGTGAACATATCAGTGCCTTGTATTTGTGAGACAAATGATCGGAAACTAACCCTTCTTGGTACTCCAATTCTTAAGTGCCTTCCATTGTTTGGAAAAACCCAACCACGGGGCTTCTGTGTTGTTTCTCCAGGCCAGATCACAGGGAGCAGCTTTTGATTCGCACTGGAACGATTGGCTGGTTTTGAATAAAGTACTTCTGGAGAATCAACAGATAATCCAGAGTGATTAGACCAATAACCAATCCTCCTTGCGCCTGTTCCTATTACATTGATGATTTCATATGATGGATTCATAGGATTCCCATCAGCCGCATACTCAATATGACCTGTTACCCCAGTCATGTTAACCCCATAAATACTTGTACGCAACAGATTTCCTTGATCAAAGATGTTCACTGCATCAAGATGCAAGCTGTCTCCACGTAGTTGAGATAACTTCGAATCATAGGAGAATGTGATACGGTTCCCTTGTTTGAAAAATGTATCAAGTGCACGAGCAAGCATATAAACAGTATCATATGCATAGAGACCAAAAGTGTTCAATCCAAGTGGACCATCAGCAATCGCTCCCCTAGTCAGGTTTTTCCACCTAGAAAAGAACCTTCTCTTGAGCTCTGAATCAGGTGTGTGCATACGCAGTGTGAGAACTCCTTGAATTTCATCTATTTGATCTGGAGGGATGGGACTCTCAGAGTCCAGAAGAGTAGTGAGAAAGTTGGTGGCTATCCAGACATACCCAGTTCCCATCATCCCAAGATATTTTGCCACATTAAATACATGGGGCCCCCATGCAGCATTAGTGTGAAGAATTATAATCCGAGATTCAGCAAGAGCCACCTGAACAAGCACATCAGTAATCTCCTCCTTATTTGCTTCAGGGCTTATCGGTGCTTTATATGAGATTTTACAACGTCTCTCTGCAAGCTTATCCCCTAAAGAACCAATTCCATTCCTCCCATGGTCATCGTCAGCATAAATTGCAATAACCTCTCTCCATCCATAGAAGTCTACAAGCTCAGCAATTGCAGTCATCTGATAAATATCACTAGGAGCAGTTCTAACAAAGAATGGGAATTGAAGGGAAGAAAGTGTAGGGTCAGTGGCTGAAAATGATAGAAGTGGAACTTGGAGCTCGTTTGCAACATGAGATATGACATGAGCTGTTATGGATGTCTGGGGACCAATTATAGCCACAGTGTGTCTTGCCATGAGCTGCAAGACTGTTACGCATTGGTAATTTAATTAAATGACAAAGAACTATAATCTGCAAAAGTTTTGAAATAACTTAAAGTGAAAATAAGACCCCAAAAATGAGGATATTGTAAAGGACGTACCCTCAGAAATGCTTAGAAAACCTCTGTATTTGGAGTCCTCTTGCATTGAGACCCTCAGCTCAGTTTGTTCAAGAATGGAAGGATCGGAATTTATATCTGCAACTGCCGCTTCAATAGCTATTTTCACAATTCTACCCACGGTGGTATTGAAAGAGAAAAGCGCTCCAATATTTACAAATTCAGGTATTGCTGAATTGTTCACGCCAGCCCCAGATGAAGAAAGCCCATTAGAGAGGATCATTAACATCGCAAGCCAAACGTTAATCATGGTTGCACGTTGCTTAAATACAAGCCACTAATTTACCACCCTGCTCAGCGAAACAGACGATGAAGAAGTTATAAGAATGCTGGATTTCCCTCTTCCCCACTCTGTTTCGAAGGGGGAAAAAAGAGCGCGCACACGAACACAAGCATAAAGACATAGACATAGACCCTTAACAGCATAAACAATGTTTCAAAGCTTGAAATATTAAAGCAAAAGATTTCCTCAACAGAAGCAGAAAATCTCATGATGCACACCACCAAGGCGAGAAGGAATCAAGCACTAAAGTTCCGGCCTTCAAAGCAATGGTAGCAGATAGCTCAAGTTAGCAACTCAGCTGGAATTCACTGGTGCATACCAGTAGATTCGGCATGTCCTAGAAAATTTAGCAGAAAACTAACCTGAAATTTTGGGTCGAAGCCGGGTTAACTCCAACCAGAGGACGACCATGAACACTCCCGAAAACCTGGGCAAAGAAGAAAAAGGAAGAAATCTGAGAAGGAACAGAAAAATAGAAGTTAATGAATAAAGTAGCATTCATGATTATGGGAGCATGAGTCACAAATGCTATACCCACCTGGATATATTCTTGCCCTCTTCTTCGTCTTATCGTTCTTGTTGTGTATAGCCAAAGGCTACTATTCCGTTGGCATCTATACACTCTGGGGTTGTAATGGCGCCTGCTCATGTGGGAGAAGTATGTCCTCACTTAATTTGAAGACAAATAAATGGTCACTATACAGTGTAGAAGCACGCAAACAGTGAGAAAGATGGCCCCTTGATGGAGCACCGTGGGTATGAACAAGACAATTAGAAGAAGGACGCCATTGGATGCGATGAGATTAGCTTCCAATGACGTGGACTGTATGCAGGAATAGTCAAGAGAATCTGGCCTGCACCCCCGGACGCCACTCACTGTGATGATGGGAACTTCCCAATAATAATATTTTACTATCATATCATTTTGTTTTTTGTTTTTTGGCGAACAAGGAGTACTTATAGGAAAATTTGAGGCATCCCAAGCTTAAAATCCTAGAAGAAGTGACATTTGATATGATATTTTCTAAATATAATCAAATGACAGAAATATCTTTATATCAAAAAGTTTATTAATAAGTTGTAAACTGATAGTTATAAGTGCTAAGCAATAAATAATAAGTAATAAATTATGAGGAAACAATGACAAGTATTAAATAACTAATTACAAAAAATGTACTAATAATGATAAATTTGACAGCTTCTTTTTAAAATCAAATACAAAGATATTTAGTAGTGTCAGACATGATATTTCATAAAATCCGATACAAAGATATTTTAGTCATTTGACTATATTTATGAAATATCATATCTGACACTTCTTTCTCTAAGGTTTTAAACTCTTGAATAGCTGAATTGAAATACTGTAATTTTCAACATCTTTTTATGCTATTTTTCTGTGCTTGTATAATACTATGATAAGAAATTTTTATCAATTTTTAATACAAAGTTGAAGAACAAAAAGTAATTTTGAGTTATTTGATGATGTGAGGACACATTGAGAGGAGAAGAGAATGGGGAGAAATTAGAAGAGGCCTTGAATGGATGCCAAACGCGTGGCGTTGAAGAGGGGCATGGTTGGGAGGGAGGGAGGGAAGGCGGCGAGATGAAAGAAACAGTAATGCGGTTGTTGGAGGCCCATATTTGAAACGTGACAAATGATCAAAAAGACGAGTGGGCCCCACTTTCCCTTCATGGGGTCGGGCATTGAAGATTTTAAATTTCAGATTTATAAAATAAATAATTGTTTATCATTAAAAATTTCGGTGAACTGAATTCAGTTCCTTCAAAGGACATGTTTATGATTATTTTTAACCGTATAATAGTACTGCTCACCATTTGTCATCACCTTCTCTTCAATAGATGTCATGTCACGTTGACTCTTCCACAAATACTTTCATTATTAATTTTATTTTTTTTCTTATATAACTGCACACCAATGTCAACACACGAAGCTCGGTCACCGTACGCTCATAATGATCCTTTGAAATACAACATTTGTTATCGTATAAAATTGCTAGTCCTGTAGCAATGCCATAAAATTTTGTTTTTTTAACCTTATTAGCAAGTTGAGTTGTGCTATTTTTGAGTTAAATTTGTGAGTATTAAATTTGTGAAGATCTAGTAATATTAAATAAAATTAAAGGAACGTATCTGTATTTGATTTTTTTTTTTGCCTGCTACCTATAGTTAATTTTTCAGGGGAAAAAAGGGCAGCTACATGGAGGAGGAATAATGAGAAGAAAATAGAGAAAGTTAGAATAAAGAAAATTAAATTAATTACGCAATTAAAAACGAGAGGAGTTGCTTCACACACACGGGAACAGTTCCTTCTTCTCATGCACTAGTCAAATGCAAGAGAGCAAAAACGGACGATGATCCATGGGGACACTCACCCCTTTAGATTGACACCTTAATCGACTCTCCTTCATCATTTCATTCATGATTCATGTGATGTTAGGCTCCACGTTGCCCTTTAATTTTGCTCTAATTATGCTGGAAAAAGAATTAATATTTTTGTTCTATTTATAAAGTAGAGAGAATTTTTTTATATAAATATACAATTTTATTATTTACTTATCATGGGCTTGATTTTTTTACATGAAATATAATGTATATTAAATAAAGATAAAGTTAAAAAGTTATCAAAATCTAAATAAAAGTTAATAAATTTTAAAATTTTCCTGTAAAACATGTTGAAAGTGACAGAGGAGTATTACTCTAATTCAATTAATATCATCTCTAATATTGATATCTAAAATTTGAAATAAATTATTTTAGTTCATAAAATTAAATCTTATTTTGATTCATCCAAAGATTTTTCAGCTTTGAAACAATGTTTTTTTTAGAATCAAAATTATCGGCTTTAAATTTTAAGAATCAAAATTAAAGTGAAGTCAAATTTTAGAAATTAAAAGCAGTATTAATCTATTTTAATTTTATCCATTCTGGTTATGTTGATGATTTCATAACTTAAAATGTGCATTTTTTTCAATATTATTTTAAAAAATAAAGCGTGTAAACGTCTACTATATACAAACGTTGTTGTGAAATGGCAGAAATTAAATTATTGATCACATGCCGCCTGATATTTCAGGTCCGTATGAGTTGTTGCGGCTTAGCAGGACCTGAGGACGTCCGGTTAAGCTGACAGGCCCACGACTTTAACAACAACTTCAATAATTTATTAACAGTTACTTTTTTTTTGGGCCAATACGCAAGTCCATATTATTACTCAAGGAAAAAACAGAACAGTACAAGAACTGACAGGTAAGAACCCGAACAAAGAAACAAAAAACGCATAAACCAAGCACAAGGCAAAACAACACATAAACCAAAGGAAAGCAAAGCGCGCAACATCAGCCAATGCCACTTTAGGGTTTGTTTGGATGAAACTAAATCGTGGTTTAAAAAAGTGATTCTGGAGAATAGATTCTGGGGAAAATAGATTCTGTGAAGAATAGATTTTGTAAAAAAGTGATTCTGAGAAGTGAGAGTGTTTGGATAGTTGTTATCAAAAGCACTTTTTATATATATAAATTACTAAAAAAAAGACATAAGTTAATATGATAATTACAGAAAAAATAGATTTTATGATATATTTTAATTTGAAGGAATAAAATTGTTAATAATATGTTTTTTACCAACATAATTAATAATACATAAGATAATATAATTAATAAATAATTAATGTGTATATATATTTATAAAATATAAGATTAAATATATTTATAAAAAAATATGTTTATAAAAAAAATAACAAGATACATATCATATAGGCCCTCACACTCTCCCTTTTTTCTTCAAAAGCAAAAAAATTTTGCTTTTTCCAAAACCATGGTTTTGACCCAAAACCATGGTTTTGGTTTTTGGAAGGGGTGTTTGGGTGATTTATTCCCCAAACCATGGTTTGGGTCCCCAAACCATGGTTTGGGGTGTCACCCAAACACACCCTATATTCATCAAAGTTGGCAACCACATCTGCAGAAGAACTTCCAGCATCTAGTCTTTTACTAGAGGCATCATCACAAGTCTTGAAACCATTCCATCTTTCCAAGTCTAAAGCTAAAACCTTCGCTAGAAGGAGTGTTGGTTGGTCAATCCACTCGTATGGGCACACTCCCTTTCTACAACTGACAGCAAGAAAATATGCTGCTTCATTACTCTTCCTAGAGACAAGAGCAATCTCCACACCATTCAATACATTCAAGGCTTCAATTACCTCTTGCATTTCCCATCTACCTTTCCATTCAGCACACTCTGCTGACTTATTTCTCCAGCACCAGTAGATCTCTGAACAGTCAACCTCAATCACAACATGAGTCAAGTTCAGTTCAATAATAAGAGAGACTGCTTTCCTTACAGCAAGAACTTCAAATAGAAAAGCAGAATCTGACTTCACTCCTCCGAATCCCCAGAGAAAATTGCCATCTTCATCTCTACAAATTAATCCAATAGCTGCCATGTCTGAAGTAAAAGAGCCATCACAATTAATCTTTATCACACCCACCTCTGGAGGGCGCCACCCTGACCAAACACCTTGATTCCCCATTTTCTCATCATCATCTACCTGCCACCCATTTGCTCTCCAAAATTCCTTCACTGCTTTTTCTGCAGCATTCACTACCTTAATTGGATCAGGTTCTATTGCTTCAAACACTACAGAATTCCTCCCTTTCCAAATCAGCTAGACAATCCACACTACATAAGCAATTCAACATAACATCATCAAACAAAATCTTTTTAAACCAACAACCAACGCTCTGGAATCTAGCACCATCTACTTTCCAATTTAGAGTAGAACCGAACCACACACACTTGGCCCATGGACACAAGAAGAGGGAGTGTTCAAGATTTTCTACCTCCAAATTACATACAGGACATATCTCAGATGTTCTGCATCTCCTTCTCACCAAAGCTTCCTTCACTGGTACTGCACCCACCAAGCATCTCCACACAAAATGCTTGATTTTAGGCAGCACCCTCAATTTCCACACTTTGCCCCATACGGCATGAGGCAATGAAAGAGAACTTCCAGTCCTACCATCAACCACAATCCTCTTTAATCTTGCCTCTGCGTAACCTTTTTCATAGCATAACCTTTTTCATAGCATACAGTCCATTCTTCTCTTTCTCCCAAATAGGCTCATCCCTTCTTTGAAAATAATGTGAATCAATACTGCAGATTTTCTGCACAATTTCAACAGGGATAAAAGGTCGTAATTTACTAACATTCCACCTGCCATCAAGTATTAATTCAAAAACAGTCCATTTTCTCGCTTCTTCAAGGATAATGGTTAGTTCCGAAAGGCTACACTTCAACTCAGGTATCCATTTATCAGACCACACATTCACCCTCCTTCCATCGACCATCACCAATTTTCCAGAAGATACTCTCCTTCAGCAGACTTCTACCGTCAAGAATACTCGACCATAACCAGGAAGCTTTATGGCCCTTCTTTACATTCATAAAGGAGGTTTCAGTGAATTAAACTCCCTTCAGAACCTTCACCCACAGTTCATCATCATTATTCATCAATCTCCATGCTGTTTTGGCCAATAGAGCATCATTCATAGCCTCAAAGTCTCTAAACCCCATTCCCCCATCTTTTTTAGACCTGGTCATAGAACT